GAGATTCTGGCATTTCGGGCAAAATTAATTTATATTAAAAAATCGATTCAGGATTTTAATGAATCGATTTTACGTTATCCAAGCCAGAATCGATTTTAATCGATAAATCGATTATAAAAACCCACCCCTAGTTAAAAGAGCTAACCTTTTCATGGACCTTTCAAATGCCTGCAAAGACCTTTGATACGTTTTAATGACCTTAAATCCATTGTTGCATATATTTATATTGAATGGTATTGTTATATGTAGTTTTTGTAATTGTTTAAACTTGAACAGCAGTTCTCCAGGTTTTCTGAAGGTTTTTCAAAGTTTTGGACTTTGGTTTGCTTTGGCTGCTTTTTTATTCATTTTCAGTACAGTCCTTGTATGTTTATCAGCCTGTTGCAAAAAACAAAACAAACCTAATTCGTTCCAGTTTATTTCGTTGATTCTATGAAAAACACCAACAATAACACAGGTTATAGACATGAAATAGTATTCTTGCACCAACAAGGTGACTTCCAAGTGCTATTCACTGAAAACCTACAATTTCTTGCTTTTGCTTTGCATTTGTAAAAAAAAGTCAAGGAAGCTGGACAAAGAAGCTTGTCCAGTATGGACAAAAGAAGAAGTGACAGACCTAAAAAACTAAATACAGCAGATAAACAGTATCAGAGAGTCATATCCTTTGAAAACAGTCCATTAAAGATCTGACACAGGACCTGACAGTCATCTGGACCATCAGTTGATCAATCTACTGTTAACTGAAGGCCCATCAGAAATGGTCTCAGTGGAAGTGTGGCAGCCATTTTTATGAAGGAAAATGGAAAAAAGTCTGAGGTGTGCTAGATTACACTAGAACTGGACTGAAAATCAGCTGCAACGGGTCCTATGACGTGATGAATCCAAATTTGAAATTTTTGATTCAAATCACTGTCAGTATGTACAGATGAGATCAAGAGAAAGGTTCAACAGTCTGTTGTACCTTTGTAAAAGTGGAAAACACTGTGCAGGTAACAGATTGTAATGGTTGAGGGCTGCAGTTCAGTGGAGATCTTGTTAAAATTGATGGAACTATGCACGCAGAAATGTGCCACCAGATTCTGATTCACCGTGCAATACTAGCTGAAAAGCGTCTAATTGGTTACAACTTCATTTTTCAGTGTAACAATGATCCCAAACACACTGTCAATGGAGTAAAAGCACACCCTGGATAGAAAAACACAGTAAAACATAATCAGTCATGGATTGTCAAGACCACAACATTATTGAAACAGTGTGACTCAGTCTAATGAATGAAAGGTGGCCAACATCCAAGAGTTTTGAACCTTCTTCAAGAAGGCTGGAGGATTATTCCTGAAGACAACTTAAAGAAATGACAAGAAAGCTTGGCTAAGAGAGCTCAGGCTGTGTTGAAGAATAAATTTGGTCATACCAAATATTGACTTTCAAGCTCATTAGAATTGTACAAACTCAGTTCTTGAACCTTGCCTAAAAGCTATGAACAGCTCCCACACCATTGAAGAACTCGTACGGCCGTCTTAAGGACAGCTTTAAACCTCTAAACTCTCATTAATCATCCTAGTGCCTACATCTACAATATTACTACAACCACTGTGTAACTGACAGAAACCAACAACTCTGACTCTGCTTTAGCTGTCCATGTTGCCACCAATGATTTAACCCTTTAAAACCGGTCAGAGCGGGCACACTCCTTTTGCGTAACTATTTTTAAATCCCGGTAGCTCTGCAACCACGTAAGCTAGCGCAATAATTTTTTTTGCATATGAAACCAGAGGAGTTGTACTTACATCTTATGACATCAGCTTGTCCTAGGTCACAGTTTCCTTCCACATATAGCTTTGCAAAAACTGCATAAAAAGCACTTGCAGCAACAAAAACATAATATTCCAGAAACACGCTTTGCCGATCCGATCAGCTGTTCATAACACTTCCTACGTCCATCAGCATGAACTATCGCATGTCCGCCATTTCCTGCCCGAAACCGGAAGTGACGTCATTTTCGCGGAAATGTAGTTTTTTTTACCATCAAGGCCTCATGAGCCTATACTGGTGTTTTTAAAAGTTATGTTTGACTTTATGACTTTCTGTGTTGTTTCTGGGATGCTTAGGACTCATATTGCACTGCTGGAAATAGTTTATTTTGATGCATATGCTGCTTTTTTGCAAATTTGCACTATAATATTTATTTTCGTTTTTCCTGCAGTATACAGAAATTAGTGTATTTCAAAATAAAACTATGAAGACACTCAAAATAAATTTCCTGTGGTGGGAAGCTATTTTGTGCAACTTTTTTGTATTTACAGTTTTGAGGGATAAGCCTCTTAAATTTCTCTAACTAGAAATATATGTTAAAAAAACAAAAACGATTTTCAATTTTTTTGTAGTTTTGCAATTTATGTAGTTACTATGCACTTAATGCATATATATTATTAAAATTTAGGCTGTAATGGTTGTATTGATGTATAGCAACTTGAAATTCTCCCAAAAATGGCTCCACAACATGTAAAAATATAATATAAGCTCTGGCGGACTTGGTTCTATGGTAGGTCTTAAAGGGTTAAAAAAAGGACTCTCAAAGATGAGCGTCGGGAACTTGTGGATAGTCTGCAGGACACTGGAAAGAATTATGTCTGCTGTTTTAAAGATCTGATGTTCAGCCAGACAAACTGTACCTGTAACACTCAAAACACTATCCAGGCACTCTCTGTTAATTATGACCACGTACCTAAAATCACGTTAAACCCATGAAATATGATTTTGTCCAATTTTTAATTTGTGTTTGCTAAAGTGACTTTGAAGTATTTCTTTCTGCCCACATGTTCTAATCAATAATTAATAATAGGCAGATAAATTGCAACTAAACTCAGTCAGTGACTGATTTCTAAATGGAACCATATGAATAAATATTAAAACCAGAAACTGTCTTCTGGCTCTTCACTTGTTTTGGTCTTTGTAATTGGAGAGGCATTCCTCTTCTCAGTCAGGAATTTATAAGAGTGTGTTTTTGTAAATAACGTTTCTCGGCTTCAGTTTGCGTCTTGTCACAGCTTCGCACGAGTGTCCTAAATTCTGCTGTGATTGCTGTCCAGGGCCATGTGAAGGAAGCTCTGGTTGAAAGGGTGAAAGGATGAAAAGTGGCACAGCTTGTACTTCTTAGGAATCCCAGATTCAGACAGCCTCACAAACACAGAGCAGCAATCCTGCATAGCTGAACTGTTTCTCACAACCTCGTGACTGATCTGAAAGTCTATTAACTTTTGCAGTTTGTTGAGGTTTTTTAAGTACTTAAATCTTGGTTGTGTTAAGTGGGCTTTGGTTTGTTGGTGTGGAGTGGTTTGTGAATCCAATTTTAAAGCATTTTGAATGTTCATTGTTTTGGCCAACACAGGGTGACTCCTCTGGTTCCAAACAGAAGTGTAATAGTACAGAAATCTATGAGGGAAATACTGTACTCACCTGATCTGTGACCTCTGTGAGCACCTAATGACTTTAAGGCAGCGGTCCCCAACCCCCGGGCATCGGAGCAGTACCAGTCCGTGAGTTGTTTGGTACCGGGCCGCGAGAGTTGAGGCTCAGGTTTGAAATGTATGGTTTTCAGCGTTATTTTGTTATCGTTTTTTCGGTACCGGTACTAGTTTTATTTTGTTGTATTTATCCGCGACACCTTAAAGGCCGGTCTGTGAAAATATTGTCGGGCACAAACCGGTCTGTGGCGCAAAAAACCCCCTACATTTCCATGAAATTACGTCACTTCCAGTTTCAGGCAGGTAATGGCGGACATGCGATTGTTCGCGCTGACGTCTATTCCAACGTAGGAAGTGTTAGGAGACCCGAGCAACTCAGCACTTCCTTTGGCAGATCCGGATCTCATTATTTAAGTCTGGTTAAGTGAATAACAAAGAAGATCAATTTTCTAAGTCCTCATCACTAGAATGGTGTGCATATGGAGACAAAACATTATGAAGCTCTGATTAATCAAGGTGGCATTTCAGTGGTAGCCATTCATTGCTGATGGCAGGTTAGGCTGATGATTTAGTTTGACCTGTATCTTGAAATATTGACTAAATAGAAGTTGTGGCTTGGACAACCAAGTGGCTCACCTGGCTAATTTCGTACCAAAATAATCCTTTTTCAAAAGATCTGTTATGTTTTGTTGCTATTTAAAAAAAAAAAAAAAAACCTTAGCCATTATTTACATATACAGAAAATATAATGCAGGGTGTTGTTAACAGAGATATATGCCCATCCTAACTTGGTGATTGGCATATAAACATCTGGAAGTTGTTTGGACTCTTTCAAGGTCCAGAATATTCTAGTCATGATGCTTGGAGTTACACTTCTAAACAGACCATGGATCCTCCTCAAGGACTGGTTGAGCCCTCCAGGATCCCACTAACCTCAATAGCCCATTCATCCTCGCCACATTGGTTGCTTCATGCGTCAGTGTGACAGCATCACACAGCCACTTTCTTTTGTCCATTTGTAATCTTTTGCAGAACTTATGTGGAAATCTCCCACCGTGAGTTTTGTGCTAACTGAGAACCCATGTACAGGTGGACTTGCTCACATAGTCTGGCTTCAGGCTGGTCTATTTTGAAAAAGCTGTGACGAAGGTGGCAAACATGCCAGGTTGGAAACCGTTTGTGACGGTGAGCATAAATGAGCCTTGGGAGTCTTAAGGCTGAATTTTCTCAGAAACAGACAGAAACAAATGTGGAAAAAGTCTAAACACACTCACTGGTAAACTGGCCGGTCAAGGCAGTAACAATTTTACTCAAATTCGACATAAGATGACCTCAAAAAGTACCCTGAAGGACCTCTAAGCTCTTTCTTCTTGAACTTTTACAAGTAAAAGTTCTCAAACTATCACTACAACCTCATAAAGATAACCAAGAACTCTAAACATTCAACCATATTTTAATAATAAAGTAAATTAACCACTAAAAACAACAGGAAAGCCTGCTCTCTGATTGGTTGACAAGTGAATCAGATATTGTATTTTTTACAATACCTGATTCACTTGTTTGTGTACACCAGAGCTCACAATGTGTGATCACAACGTGTGGTTATCAGGTAATTATAACAAATACGGCTTCATTAACCGGTATAAGTAACCAAAAACTGGTATTAATCTCTCTGGTGCTGTAATTAAAGTGCATGTTTGTTTACCTGCATCAGGTACATCCTCTACTGAAGCAGGAGGGGCTTCATCCTGCACAGGTGTGTCTGGTTCCTCCTCTGACAGAGACTCCACCAGCTCTCCACCGATGTGAACGTCCACCTACCAGGACATCAAAACTTACAGATGTAACGACTCTATAGACCCAATCTTTTTTAATATACTGTGACTTTATTAAAAAACATTTATATTATGTATTTAAATATTAGTAAAACCAGTTACAGTATTACCTTTTATCTTTATATAACTGTACTTGACATAATATCAATATATACAGTGTTAAAGGTATTTATCTTTATAATCACTTTATATAAAGGTTTTGTAATGTTAAAGCTTCATAACACATCCAGTTTAAAGCTTTTGTGAAACAGCTTTATTTACATTAACTTTAGTATGTGTTAGGGCTGTGCGATATGACTAAAATCTCATATCCCGATATTAAGACATCTATTGTCCCGATAACGATATAAATCACAAAAATTTAACATTTTCTGTAAATTCTGTGAATCTCGGGCAGCTCGACCTGCGTAAAGTGTTTCCAGCTGCGCGTCATGTAGCTGGAGTCGAGTGTTTTACCCGATGCCGGAAACGATACATTTTTAGACATAAGTTATAACGGCCGCCGTTTTCTTTGCGAGTATTTATTACACGGTGTGCTGCGGGGAAAAGCCTGTCCTAACGTTTGAGTCTAAGGTTTATTTTTTAGCACCTGACGGTAGGGCTGGGTCATATCATACCGTTCACGGTAATACCGGTGTAATTTTGGGCAACGATAGGAAAATGAAATATCGCGATAGAATATGGGAACACGCGCATGCGCAGTGCCTATGGTTACATACACACATGGCGGCGGCGCAGAATGAGAAGAGCGAAAGCGGATCGTTAAATGAAACAGATGAACCAGAATTGGTTTGTAAAAATGCTGCAACTTCAGTGGTGTGGAACTGGTTTGGCTTTCGTCCGTCAGATACACAACAAAGCACTATTTTTGGTAGAGCATGCTAGCAGGCCGTCGTTATTACCGTGTTGTTTGGAAAATACGGCCCACTTAAAATCAATCCTTTGATTTTCTGAAAGTCGACAGTGCCCCTTATAATCCCGTGTGCCTTATGTTTGAATTCTGGTTGTGTTTACTGACCTCGAAACGATTTTATGTACACGGCGTTTGAAAATCTGTCAAATGTTTCAGTACGACTTTGCTAATCTACGAAGCCGCACCGCTTGATGGCTTGTCGGAGCATTACGGCTATCGTAGGCGGAGCCTCGCGGAGTGATACGTACTGTGCTTCAACATAATATTACCATATTGTGTGTGTATAACCTCTTTTTAGTTTTTTAACGTGATGGATATTCTACATGGTTATGCTGAGGATATGTTGGCCAATTTCCACTGGAAATGCCTTTTGGTTAAACTGTCAGCAAAGAATTTGCACTGTTACATTTTTTATATAACTTTAATGCACATAAAAAACAGCTGCTTGTTTAAGTGAAAATACATTGATGGTTTGTTTTTTTTTTGCACTAATAAAGTTGTGGAGTTGTAAAGTATTTTGTCTAGTGTCAATTATATCGTCAGTTATATCGTTATCGCAAATTTTCAAATGTATATCGTGATAAATATTTTTGGTCATATCGCCCTGCTCTACCTGACGGCTCTTTTTTGCTTCTCATCCGTAAACACTCCGCATCTTTCACGTGATTCCGTTTATTTTGAAAAGTCTCAACAGGATCTTGAGCTTTATTGTGAACGGTTTATGTGGAACAAGCGGACACGCGGTGGTTTTACCGTCGTTGTTGCTAACGACAACGCATAAAAAACAGGCGCTTGTCCGTCAGTAGTGTGGTTATATTAAATATAAGAGAAAGAGAGAACTTTAAGAAATTAATATAGCCACTACAGTGACCATCAAAACGATGAAAAAATATTGCCGTAAACAGTTTTGCGACACCACGAAACAAACGATAGCGTAAAATGAAACGATAGATGTTTTTATATCGTCATCCGATATATATCGTTATATCAAACAGCCCTAGTATGTGTATCTTTTATATAAAGTCTTTACGTTCTTCATTTTTTATATTCGACAGACTAAACCTCAACATTATTTCCAGATAACGAGGCTTCTCTTTTAGCTTTAAGTCATCAACTTACATCTTAAAATAACATCATCCTTTTATTTTTATAATCACACTCACCTTCAGCTGAGATTTGGGATGCAAGAAGAAAAATGGCTTTAGGACAGGAGACCTGGAGGCCACAAAAATGAAATAAACAACAGGAAATCTCACGTGACAGAGATGGTGTATGGGGACCGTGTATTTTCTCCACATGTAGGTAAAAAAATAAATAAAATAAAAAGCAGAAATTGGAAAAACATTTTTTTAAACTCACACTCTGGGTCGTCCGCCCACGATATTGGTGAGTCCGGGAGCTATGAATGTGAAAAAATGAGAGAAAAAGAAATGAAAAACTGACAGTTTTAGAGAAAGTTGTAGCAGGTGCAGCGCCTCCTTCCTGTCCTAATTCGAGTTCAGCAACACTGACAGTGTGAATCATCAGCCTCCCGGGAGTCACACAAAGTTCACACTGAACTGGACCTGCCACCATAAACAAAAACATCTTCTGCTTCATGAGGTCACGACCCTCCTTATCTGCAGGCGGGAGACTCCCGCTTCACAGTGGAAGGCACATCCGTGGACCACTCACAGCACAGAGCTCAGCTGTGTGAGTCCAGCTAATGTAATAACACACGCATTACAACATTAAACAAGCACATGAAGCATGACGGTTTAAGGGAATGTGGTTCACATGCTCAGAATATTAACGATTCAGATTCAGCACACTTACATGGTTGTTATTATCAAGGTTATTATCGTTAACGAAAACTAACGAAATAACGAAAACTAGAAGTGAAAAAACATTTTCG